CCGCCTGGGTGGGACCCAGCGGAGACAGGGCCAGGGGCGGTGGGGAGGTTCAGCCTGCGTGTGTCGAGGCCCCCCAGGGCAGAGGTACCGGGATCCGTGTCCCATGCCTGGAGGCCACCTCGAGCACCGGGAACCTGGCCTGTGGCGTGGCTAGGCAGGTTCGGCCTGCAGCAGAAATTCATTCACTTTTCCCGGGCTTCGGGCCCAAGAGGGGCCTAGGTCCGGAAACAGGCCGGATCCCCCTCTCCCTCAACGGGGCAGGGCGCTGGAGAGGGACGTCCCCGAGACGGAGTAGACTGTGGCCGTTCGGACGCCCCCGCCCCCAGAGCTTCCCCTAGGGCGTCAGCATTTTAGGCCTCGTTTTGGAGGGCTGAGGGCCTGTGACGCATTATGTAACTGGCGATGAGCGCGCCGGCCGATTTCTCTTTTGTTAAATCGATCGACGGCGTGCAGCCGGAACGCTGGAGGGCGACGGTTTAGTTTTGCTGTTTGACCTCCCACGCCCACGGCTGGAGCTGCTGAAAGTGAAGAAGCTAGATTTGCAGACGCCACTGCTAGTTGGTTATGAAGCTCCAGGCAACAGTGTTAAATGAACTGTCCCGACCTTACATTGTTTTTGATGTTCACAGAATTTAAATTTTTTGGATGTTTACATGTGAAGTGGCCATCTAACATAGCCTCCGTTTCCCTGTCCCCCTCTCAGCACCTTGGCTTTCTCCTTTTCTTTGCACGTTGAAATGTTAATGCAGTTTGAAACGTTGCACTTTGAAACGTTAATGCAGATTTCACTTTAGCAGGCCCCAGGTAGCCTCGTGATCACCAAATCCAGAAACCCTGTGATTCCGGACAGACAATGTAAGGGTGTCCTTGGGAGGGGGACTCAGTGCCAGGGTTGGAATCCCAGCCTCATCTGTTTCTGTTAATAGTGTGCTGGGACACTAGCCCCGTGGTGTTGTTGGAACTGAAATAATACACAGCCTGGGCAACATAGTAAGACCCCAACTCTAAAAAAAAAATTGGCCAGGCGTGATGGTGTGAGCCTGTAGTTCCCAGCTACTCAGGAGGCTGAGGTGGGAGGATCGATTGAGCCCTTCCTGGAGATTGAGGCTACAGTGAGCCTTGATAGCGTCACTACACTGCGGCCTGGGGGACAGAAGGAGACCTGGTCTCAAAATAAATAAATAAGATAAATGATGTATATAAAACTCCAGCTCCTGGCTCTTACAGTCAATACAGGGTCGTTGATTTTATTAAAAATCTATTCCGTTTTGTCTTTGAAGAGTCTGAGATCAAAGAAAGAGTATCGGTTTCTTCAGGATTTCTCTTTTTTTTCGAGACAGAGTCTCATTCTGTCGCCCAGTCTGGAGTGCAGTGGGGTGATCTTGGCTCACTGCAGCCTCTGCCTCCCCAGCTCAAGCGATCCTCCCACCACCTCGGCCTCCCAAGTAGCTGGGATTACAGGTGCCCGCCACCACGCCCAGCTAATTTTTGAATTTTTAGTAGAGACGGGTTTCACCGTGTTGGCCAGGCTGGTCTCGAACCCCTGACCTCAAGTGATCCTCTCTTCTGGGCCTCCCAAAGTGCTGGGATTACAGGCGTGAGCCACCACACCCAGCCAGTTTCTTCAGCATTTCTGACTTTTTTACTCCAAACTGATTCCTTCATACAGGTTAAGAATAGACCCACCAGCATTTCGTGGGATGGTCTTGATTCAGGGAAGCTCTACACCTTGGTCCTGACAGACCCGGATGCTCCCAGCAGGAAGGATCCCAAATACAGGTGAGAGTTGGGAAAGACGAGGAAGAGCAGGTCATGCAGGCATGACTTATCGGGTGTAAGTCCCTTGCTGGACATGGAGAAGTAGACCTGGTTTGGGATCCCCCCACCCATGCTTAAGCCAGAGAATGCCTTTCCTGCCCTTTTGCCCCCTACAGCGGGTATCTGTAACTCACAGCCGAGAGCCATATCTACCTGTGGCTTGTTTTTGTATGGCCCCATGAGCTAAGAATGGTTTTTACATTTTTATTTTTTATTTTTTTGAGACAGAGTCTCAGTCAGTCACCCAGGCTGCAGTGCAGTGGCGTGATCTCGGCTCACTGCAACCTCCACCTCCCGGGTTCAAGTGATTCTCATGCCTCAGCCTCCTGAGTAGCTGGAATTACAGGCACCCGCCACCATGCCTGGCTAATTTTTGTATTTTTAGTACAGACAGGGTTTCACCATGTTGGCCAGGCTGCTCTCGAACTCCTGACCTCAGGTCATCTGCCGGCCTCAGTCTCCCAAAGTGCTGGGATTACAGGTGTGAGCCACCGCACCCGGCCTGGTTTTACCATTTTTAAATGATTGGTGAAAAATTGAAAGAAGAATAGTACTTTCTGATGTGGAAATTAGACAAAATTTACGTGTCAGTGTCCATCAGTTATGTTTTATTGGAGCACAGCCGTGTGTCATCTGTGGCTGCTTTCGTGCTGCCGAGGCCAAGTTGAATAGTTGCAGCAGAGACTGCGGCCCCCACAGCTTAACACATTTATTCTCTGGGCTTTTAATGGAAAGTTGCTGACCTTTGCTCTAGAAAAAGAGGGTGGGGGGGGCTGGGTCTGCTCTTCTGCAAACCCCTGAGGTTCGTGCCAGCCTCTGAGAAAGTGAGGACTATTGTTTGCGGCTGTGTTCTGGCACCCAGCCTGTTCTCGATGCCCAGTTGCTGGCTGTGCAGTGAGTGTTGCTGATCTTCTGTGGTGCTGACATCCCGTGTTTCTTCGTGCAGGGAATGGCATCATTTCCTGGTGGTCAACATGAAGGGCAATGACATCAGCAGTGGCACAGTCCTCTCCGATTATGTGGGCTCAGGGCCTCCCAAGGGCACAGGTTAGTAAAGGTGGTTTTTGGTGGGAGGTTGGGAGGGAGCTCGGGTGCACATTCGGATTGGCTCAGTGCTTTTTTCTTTTCTTTTCTTTTCTTTTTTTTTTTTTTGAGACGGAGTCTCACTCTGTCACTCAGGCTGGAGTGCAGTGGCGCCATCTCGGCTCACTGCAAGCTCCACCTCCCGGGTTCATGCCATTCTGAAGCGTCAGCCTCCTGAGTAGCTGGGACTACAGGCGCCAGCCACCACGCCCGGCTAATTTTTGTATTTTTAGTTGACACGGGGTTTCACCGTGTTAGCCAGGATAGTCTTGATCTCCTGACCTCATGATCCGCCTGCCTCAGCTTCCCAAAGTGCAGGGATTACAGGCGTGAGCCACCGCGCCTGGCCTTTTTTCTTTTCTTTTGAGAGCCCTTAACCCTGCTGGAAATAGCATCTCAGCTCACCTGTAGGGCAGCTGCCTTCAGGGCACACATTCACACTTGCAGGAGTGTCAGGTGGCTAGAGCCTTGGGTTCTGGACAGATGTGTGGAGTGGCCTCTGTGTGGAGTGACCTCTGCATCCCTAGCCCTTTAGCAAGCAGGGAAGTCGGTGAGAGGGAATCACTGTTGCGGAAAGCTTAGCATGGCCTTTTGGGGCTGCGCTGGGTGGAATACACAGTTAAACTATCTCAAGCCTTTGCCCGGGGTGATCTTTGAGTTGCTAATTCTATAAAAAATTTCAGAAATGATCAGTTTCCAAATTAACTATATAAGGTTGCCTTCTGCATTCATTTTTTGCTCCCTCTTTCTGAAAAAGTCTAGCTTGGTATATTGAAAAAAGATTTGGAAGACTTCAGCAGAACTATATTGAAGACTTCTGCAGAACTATATATTGTACTAAAAACACACACACACTCATTGTATTGTGTTGTATCGTGTTATAGCTATTACATATAAAATACATGTAGACATCTAGAGATAGAAAGAGAAAGACCACCATATTGAAACTTTCCAGGTTGGGTAAGTGCTGCCTAAGCTGATGGTGAGAGATGCATTCTTACTGCCTGGTGTTCAGTGCAGGATATTTCCATTTGGTGGAACTGTCACAATCCTAGCTTTCGTACAGCTTATGCAGCCAGGAGTTAACATGAAGGGGTCTAAGAACATCCCTGACATGGACAGTTGGTCACGGGATCATGTTTTCTCTGGAGACCCGGAAGCTTCAGATGCCTTTAAACCCTCTCACATATGCATAATAGATGGTAAAGGGACAGATTTCCCAGGGACCTATTAAGTTGTCTAGGGCAGTTATAAAATTAGGCAGCTTAATTATGGGAAGCTTACCCATGAGAATAAAGCAGTTCTCTCAAGTAAGAGCTGTGTTCTCATTTTTAAAAAAAGCCTCAGTAACTCATTTTCTTGTTGTTGCTTTTTCCATATTCTTGTAATATGGTATAATTTACATGTAACAAAATGCACAGATCGGAAGGGTTCAGTCAGCAAATGTGATCAATGCCTACACCCATGGAAGGTACCAGCCATTGGAAAGATAGATGACATTTCCATCCTTCAGCAAGTTCTCACGTGACCTTTTTACTTAAATTCCCCCAGAGCTAACCATATTCTGACTCCTGTCTCCATAAATCACTTTCACTATTCTTTTTCTTTCTTTTTTTTTTCTGAGATGGAGTCTCGCTCTGTCTCCCAGGCTGTATTGCAATGGCTTGATCTCAGCTCACTGCAACCTCCACCTCCTGGGTTCAAATGATTCTCCTGCCTTAGCCTCCTAAGTAGCTGGGATGACAGGCAGACGCCACCACGCCCAGCTAATTTTTGTATTTTTAGTAGAGAGTCAGGGTTTCTCCATGTTCCAGGCTGGTCTTGAACTCCTGACCTCAGATGATCTGCCCGGCTTGGCCTCCCAAAGTGCTGGGATTACAGGTGTGAGCCACCGTGCCTGGCCCACCATATATTCTTGTATGTATACATTCTTGTCATTTTGTAGGCAGGTGTTTCCATTTTTCTTGGGTGAATACTGAAGAGTAGAATTGTTAGTCATGGAAATTTCCCCAAGGTTCTCCAAATGGTTGAAAATGTTATACTTTAGCTGCAGTGAGCTGTGATCACACCACTGCATTCGGGGCTTGGTGATAGAGATCCTGTCTTAAAGAAAAAAGAAAAAGAAAACTTTATACTCTGATCAGCAATATCTGAACGTTTCAGTAGAGCATATAACATCCTTGTAGCTCCATACCAGCATTAGGTGTTGTCAGTCTTTTTTTTTTTCTTTTTGAGACAGAGTCTCACTGTCGCCCAGGCTGGAGTGCAGTGGCGCCATCTCAGCTCACTTCAAGCTCCGCCTCCCGAGTTTATGCCATCCTCCTGCCTCAGTCTCCCGAGTAGCTGGGGCTACAGGCGCCCAGCACCGTGCCCGGCTAATTTTTTGTATTTTTAGTAGAGACAAGATTTCACTGTGTTAGCCAGGATGGTCTTGATCTCCTGACCTTGTGATCTGCCCGCCTTGGCCTCCGAAAATGCTGCGATTACAGGTGTAAGCCACCATGCCCAGCTTGGTCTTTTTGACTTTAAACACTTAAGTGAGTGTAAAATGGTGCCATTTAGGCCAAGCGTGGTGGCTCACACCTGTAATCCCAGCACTTCAGGAGGCCGAAGTGGGTGAATAACGAGGTCAGGAGATCGAGACCATCCTGGCTAACATGGTGAAACCCCGTCTCTACTAAAAATACAAAAAATTAGCCGGCCATGGTGGCGGGCGCCTGTAATCCCAGCTACTCAGGAGGCTGAGGCATAGAATGGTGTGACCAGGGAGGCGGAACTTGAAGTGAGCTAAGATCGCGCCACTGCACTCCAGCCTGGGCGACAGAGTGAGAGTCCTTCTCAAAAAAAAAAAAAAAAAAGCCATTTTGTGGTTTTACTGTTCATCACCCTGATGACTAATGAGGTTTTAATGTCCTTATGACCATTCTTGTTTTGTAACTTGCTTTACTTGCTTTTTGAAAGCTATTTTTTTTAACTCTCATAAAAACATATAAAATTTACCATCTTTTTGTTTGTTTGTTTGGTTTTTGAGACAGAGTTTCACTCTTATTGCCCAGGCTGGAGTGCAGTGGCGCCTCGGCTCACGACAACCTCCGCCTCCCAGGTTCAAGCAATTCTCCTGCCTCAGCCTCCCGAGTAGCCGGGATTACAGGCATGTGCCACCACACCCGGCTAATTTTGTATCTTTAGTAGAGACAGGGTTTCTCCATGTTGGTCAGGCTGGTCTCAAACTCCCGACCTCAGGTGATCTGCCTGCCTTGGCCTCCCAAAATGCTGGGATTACAGGCAAGAGCCACTATGCCTGGCAAAATTTACCACCTTAACCCTTTTTTTGAGGCTGGAGTGCAGTGGTGTGATCCCAGCTCACTTCAGCCTCCACCTCCCAGGTTCAAGTGATCTTCCCACCTCTGCCTCCTGAGTAGCTAGGATTAGAGGCACGCGCCACCACGCCTGGCTAATTTTTGTATTTTTAGTAGAGACGGGGTTTCACCATCTTGGCCAAGCTGGTCTCAAACTCCTGACAAGTGATCCACCTGCCTTAGCCTCTCAAAGTGCTGGGATTACAGGCGTGAGCCACCGCACCCCCTCCATCCTAACCATTTTTAAGTGTACACTGCAGTAGTGTTAACTACATTCACACTGGGTTTTTTTTTTTTTTTTTTTTTTTT